TTGTGTAATGGTAGATAAGTAAATATGTCCAAATCTTATTGAAAGATAAAGACGTTTGCAGAGACTCTGAGTGTAGCCTATCCATCGTTAGTGTGTCTCCTACATGAAGCAGTCAGGCTTATGAAACGTCTCAGAGAGGCTGATACATGTGGGTCCTGAGACTGAAACTAAGCTATGGTCACAGTGTTAATAACTGCAGCACTGTATAGGAGGTACACTTTAGATTTTTAATGGTGAAATACATCGTTTAGAGTTGAACCATCTGACATTTAAAGGAAAAGCTCAGATTGGTTTGTTGAAGTTAAAACGATTCATAGATCGTTTCTTTTTTTAATCGCTTGTGGGCTCTAGTTTAAGGCCACATTTCAAACCAGTTCTCCCAGCTGCTAACAGGATTAAAAGATCAAATAAGTTACTGCTACTCGTTCTATTTAAACCTATACTTCCAGAGATTACTTTTGGTTTCTTGAAGACAAGAGTTCTCAAAGTTTTGACTCTCTGGGCCCTCGGACAAGTGTAAAGTTGAATGAGTAAAGTGTGAAGAGGTAAGAGAATGCGCTCATTTCTATACTGTAAATGGTCACCTTAACGGGCATCAAAAGAAAGCATCATTTGGGGAAAAATCTAGAAATGTGTCTTCTGATAGGAAGTTATCACTCTGAGTCGTTTTCCTTGCAACATAAAAAAGAGCATAGTTTGTATTCTTCTGATCACACAACTGTGAAAACCTACAGACAGAAGCTCTGAGCTCTAAAACAAAAGATCTAATGACAAATGAGTTTGTGCTCCAGTGACCTCGCTGCTTCATCAGCAACCATTCAGGAAACAAAATCAATAGCATGAAACTGTGAGACTGAGCTGTAAGTGCACAATGAATTCCATCGTTGTGAGTCAGACGTGTGTTTGTGTTTGTTATACACTCAGACTGATCCAACATGACATCATGGCTGACTGCAGAGAGGGAGGATGTGTGCTGATGATTGCTCAGGGGATGAAGGTTTACGACGTAGCAAAGTTACAACAGATTAATTAATGCTTCATTCAAAAATGAAAAGTGTTGTAAATAAAAACATCTCATTAATCTCATTGAGATCTTTTCAAATATCAAAATAATTCACTTGTATCTTCACAGGTGAATTGAGCGACAAAATGAGGAAATTTTAAATTTATGAATATAAACATCACATCTGCTTGTGACCCCCTCCATGAAGCAGACCTCTGTGCACCAGGCTTACTGCCACGTGCCCACTTCTTAAAAAAAAACATGGTGGATGGTTATCAGCTGCAGGTAACAGCTGGGATGTAGAAGATGGTTATCAGCTGCAGCTGCAGGTTTCCAGTATCTAATCCAATTCACAAGTGTCTTGCCCAAGGACACATCAGACATGTAGCTTGGGGATTGAACCCTCGACCTTCCTGTTGAAAGATGACTTACTCTACCAACTGAGCCACAGCCGCCCCAGTAGTAGTAGTTTAAATGTATTTTGATGTAGCCGCTACGTTCACAATCGAATATTTATTGACATTTCATTTTATCATTTTATTTGGAGTTAGAAATTACACAAACAATTTTATTTAACCTTTTCTTCTTCGTCCCCCTATTCTTATTGGTATTTGACAAACTTAAAGTAGGTTTAAGTTACATTTTTGGAAATGACCGAGCCTAAAAAGTGATTGATTGTCGTTAAGTGCTGCACAGGATTTAATCAGTGTCTGCATCAGAGGTTTAACATCTAACATCATTTAACGTCTCATTCTGCCTGCTGCTGTTTTTCAACCTTTACTAAGCAACTGTTTCAACCAGTACATATCAGGGAAAAACAGCGAGTGAAACTTCCTCCTCCAGCATGTGTTATTGATTTCCTGTGTGTCCTGCTTGTTGTCAGTGTCCTGTTTATTCATGTGCTCGTTCTCTGTGACCGCTCTGCTATCTGACCGAGGGGATTCTGGGAGTTTGTCTGCCGCATGTTTCTGTGTGTCTCCTGTCTCATTTCATTTCAGCCTCTCTGCTGTGGGACTAATCTGCATCCCATAACATCTCTGAACCAGTCCCTCCTCATGTCTAGAGCTGGATGAAGTCCACTGGAGCAGGATGCCTCGAATGTCCTGTGGATGTTCAGCCCCGTGCTCACACTCTGCACCTTCTGTTGTTAAAATGCGTCACATATAGAAGACTATTGGCAGCTTCGGCACGGTTTGCACACCTGACTGATCGGAAAGAACTTCCATCTCAATGAGGTCTCTGTTGGGTTTCACTTATTTTATTTCTATTCTTTTGTTCACTTTATGGCAGCATTGTTTACATTTTCCTTGAGTTTTGCTGCTTCATGTGCTTTTGACATGGACCTCTTAGTGGCAACAAACATGTCACCTACAAAGCCCCCCTTATTGGTGTCAGCTGCATGGCAAGAGAAAGAGCCAAGCCCACAGATTGATAACCTGTGGCACACTGATTTTCAGTCAATGGGTCAAGGTTTGATTAGATGTGGGAACAGATTTGTAAACACCACCTGAAGAAGACCTCTGATGGAAATTTTGTAATTGTGATGAACTGAAGCTTTTTGTGGCATTGTAGCGAGAGTGCGGGCCTATCATATTCCTCAGTCTAGTAGTACGTATAACTCCTCCTTTTTCAACAGACTATTCAAAATACAATAAAATAATAACTGTGAGATAACTACCAACTCTAACTGTTGGGTCATATTTTAAAACCCTGAGTACAGAATCACACAAGGCTCTTTTTTTTCTCAGGTGGTTTCAGGGGTGCTCAATAGTCACGATGTTGTTATACTTTTTAAGCCACTTTTAAATAACTGGTTTGAAGACTGTCAGCATGATCATTTACTCTCTATTGTTCACCAGGTGTTTATTTTTACAAGGAGCTGAATTTTCAACAGAGAAGAAATTAAACTGACACTTTTCAGCTGACAGGGCTAAAGCTATAGGGCGCGAGCTGCTGCTAGCTTGTTTGTAGTTTTTTTATTAATTGTTCACATGGTTTCTATTTACCAGGAACTTAATCATCTACAGGTTTCTCCTCCTGTCCAAAACAAAGAGATCGGATGATGACACTGGTAAAACATTTGATAAAGCAGTTTCACCTTCAAAGTCAGTGTCTCTCAGTCACTCTTCAGCTGAGGGACATTTGCAGAGGCTGTGAGCTGAGCTGCTGCTAGCTTCTTTTGGAGGGGGTTAGAATTCTGTTCTTCGTTTGTAAGGCTTTCTTTTGACAGAAAACTGGATAATCATAGAGGTCTCTTCTTCTCCATAACAATTAGAGCCTGTTTATTGAGATGCTGGGGGGGGGGACTGTAGATATGCACAGTACTGTGTGATCTCTGTGCATGTTCCTAATCTGCTGCATTATGTTTTCTGTTCCACAGTATGCTCTTTTCCACTCTTTTGATATTGTGATTCTGTCAAACACACATAGCATTGATATAAAGGTAAATATTCTCTTTAAAGTGATGTATACTATAGTGGACTCAATTGCTACATCAGATATTTAAAAACAGGTAAAATCCTTAAGAAAGCTGTTTTAGCCAAACAGAGCTAGGGCTTACTTTAGCTATAGCTACCTACATCTGGTTTTGATACAGGCACTCGTGGCAAACTCAGCTAAATGTCAGTCTTACAGGTAAAGCACAGGACTCACACAGGCTGACAGAAGTTTGGTGTGACGCTGAACTGACGGGAAAAAAGCAGCAAATATTCAAGCTTCATACTGAACAGCCAAATCCCAAATACAGCTCTATTTATTTTGGATGTTTATAACTGGATATATGCTCGACAGTGGAAGGACTGATATCGTCTTTTTGCACACAGCTACAGTTACTCTCATAGGATGATTTATCCCTCAGTTTAGGAACACACCCTAAACAACCGCAGTGTGTGTGTTTATTCGAGGGTGTAACAATCAATCATTTGAATAGTCTCAAGATCGGAAACTCAGCCTGGATTTGTTTCTCTTAACTTCCACTCAGGACTCAGGCTCCAAGTGTTGTAAACAGAGGAAGAGTCAGTCTGACAGAGATTTTCACTTCTGAATGGACACTTAGATTGCAAGAGGTATTAAAACACAGTATACGAGGGTGTCAGAAGAACATCTCTCTTACTCAAGTAAAGGTATAGATATTTGATTTTAAATGTTTTTTTTATTTGACTCAATGATTGAAAATGTGAAGAGTCTAAAATGTCCCCGCAGAATTAAAGTAGCCCTCTTTCACTGTTGTTATGCAAACTGGACCTCACATCTTATTTGGAATGCTGTCACTCCTGTTCAGTATCCATCCATACATTATCTAGACCACTTTTCCTGTTTGGGGTCGCGGGGGGCTGGAGCCGATCCAGGCTGTCATTGGGCGAGAGTTGGGGTACACCCTGATGTTCTCCTGTCAATCACAGGGCTGACGTATAGAGACAGACAACCAGCCACACTCACATTCACAACTACGGGCAAGATTTTTGAGACACAATTTAACTTAACAGCGGGAGGAAGGAGTACCCTGAGGGGAAGTCCCTGTCCTCGGAACCAAACCAGGAACCTTCTCGCTGTGAGGCAACAGTGCTAACCACACAGTGATGCAATACATAAATAATGACTCTAACATGCAATAGAACTAACCAACTAACCTGTTTTGAAATGTAAGGAGTAGGAAGTACAAAAAGATTTGCTTACAAGAGGCAAAAGTCAAATGTTTCCAGGAATACCAATACTCCAGTGATGACGTATGCCTTTTCTTAAAAATCTAGTTTACTTACTGAACAATGAATTTGTACGGTTACATCCTCCCTCTGGTTTTTAAACAACACGGCAAACGAGGGAGTGCTGGTCTACTTAATATCAGCTGGATGTGATTATCTTGGTACTTGCTCACCAATGGAGAAGTCGGTAAAAATGTCACAATTTGTCAGATTCCTTAAATTTTTAAGACTCTGCGCCTGAAACACAGCAGACAGGAAATGGCATTTGAGCATGAAGTAAGAGGAAAACCACTTACCAAGAAAAATGATGGTCTGCTTACGGGCCGTCTTCATCTTTTGACTTTCGTGTTTCGGTGCTCTTTGAGTTCCATCGAGGCCGTCATCCATGGATCCTAAAGGTCTCCGGAGCACGAGGATCATTGCCCGGCACATGATGGCCACACAGATCAACACGATCATGTAGATGATGAACGCCAGAAAGACGCTCACCCTGTACATCACCCAGTGCTCCCTCAGGTTGGTACAGAAGGTCAGATTCTGGACAGGTGTGTCCGCACGTAAGGGGATGTGTCCCTCCGTTCCTGTGGCAATGAGCAAAGGCAGGGCGACGAGCACGGACGCCAGCCAGGCGAACGTGATGAGTCCGGTGGTCCGTTTTCTACCCAAAGCTTTAAATCGAAATGGGTGACAGATTGCTGTGTATCGCTCAAAGCTTAGCGTGGCTACGTTGAGGATGGTGGCATAGCTGCAAGCTTCAAACAGGAAGTTGTAGATTTTACAGGACGCGTTGCCAGAATTCGACGTGAATGGGAACCAGATGGCGATGTAGAGCTCAACGGGCATGCCAATAAGGAGCACCAACATATCTGAGCATGCTAAGCTAACCATGTGGTCGGTCACATTTTTCTGCAGGTAACCATTTCGATTCAGTATTTGTGTCACTCTGATGGTGACTGAATTACCCACAATCCCCGTCACCAGGATGAGGCTGTACAGGACTGTGAGGAAGATTTTGACCGGGTAGTTGGGTTCAAGTTCGCGCCAGTCTTTCTCTTCTGCTATCTCTATTTCCTCACTCATGGTCACAGAGTGGTGAGTGCAGATTTTCTGCTATTGATTTTTTCTTTGAGCTTATCAGTTCTGCAGGGTGAGTCCCTGATTAGAGCCGAGAGCCAGAGGTGAGCTTTTTTTCCCAAGATAACGACTCACAATGAAGACTTACTTAGTCCTGACCGTTTTCTAATTCTCCAGTGAGAGTGTCCCAGTGGAGAGGAAAATTCAAAATCACAGGAGGTGCGTCAATTCATGTCACTCCAGGGTCGAGAATATGGCAACTCTTCAGAACTTTTTCCCTTCTTCTAAGTTTTCAGTTTCTTGCGTATGAAAGTCCAGTTTTTCATTCAGAGTCTAATCCATTCTTGACGATCATCTGAGATCCCAGGGAGTCCTCACAGGTCTGAGTCAAGATGTGGTTTCACTTCAGTCTGAGCAAAGTGTAAGACACAACTCGACTAGCACAGTTTTCCTCCTCCCACCTCAGTGGGCAGGCGGGTTAAACATTAATCACTGCAAACAGGCAGAATGGTGGCTGTGGTTTCATGTTTTATCACCAGCAATTAAAGGCCTACTTTTCAAACAAACATTATGTTTTACTCCAACTTAGGTGAGATTAGAAATATCAAATAAACTTGAATACTTATGGAAGATGACTTTGAAATATATGAAGCTGGAGAAATATTCAAATCTTAAAGTTTCCTTGATCAAAACCTGAAATCTCAATGAACACCTTAAACACAGCTGAGAACATTCACTGTGGAGAGAAGACAGAATAAATATTAGGTGAGGTAGAGAAGTCAACATCTGGAAAGTTTGAAAAGGTAGTTTTTGATTAAAACATTTTTTTAAAAATGAACGCAGAGAAGCTGAAAAGTTCAAACAGGGACATGTCTGAAATAAAGCAGGCATGTCTGTGTGGGAGAGGAGGAAACAGTTTATATCACCAGGCCGGCCACTACAGGAGATTAGGGTGAGGCATCGAGGGAAAAATAAGAAGATGAAGATTTATTTAGTTTTGCATTGGAAGTAACAGAGCTAAAATGTCAGGAACAAAAGTAAGATATCTGTACAGGTGACTTAAAGGGGGAAGAAAACATAAACCAGAGGGAAAAGTTGTTTTTTCTTAACTTGCATTTTTCATTTCTAAGTGATTATTAAGAGTAAAGTGAAATTTAAAATTCAAATGCCTTATTTAGAATGAAGAAAAAAGTTGCCAAAACAATGCAAAAAATACAGAACAATCTTACATCTCTGATTTGTTTTCTTATACTTTCCTCTAAAATAAAGAGTTTCAATTTATTCTTAACATTTGCGATGTTACCCTCCAAATTCTGACTTTTTTTCCGAACCATCATTTGACTTAATTCTGAAAATGGCAAATAACAAATATCTGGTATTCATACTGAAAGTTTGAACCTCACTCTATTCATTAAGACTTTATTATTGTGATGCAAATTCATGAGGAAAAAAATCTATTTTCTCATCGGCGGACTTAAAATTGTTCCTTTCATACTGCATGTACAACAAGCAACTTAAACTCCCTAAAACATTTAATAGTTGAGGGGAAACAGAAGGATGGTTTCAGAATGATATCGGACGTGAAAACAAACATTAATGGACTTATCTTTGACCAGCCTTTGTCAATAACCTTTACAACCTACCTCACCAGACACAGAGCTAGAAAAGGGTCAACAGGTTGAACATGATTAGAAAAAAAGCTTCTAATGTCCTCTCGCTGTTATTGAATATTTTTAGAAACCTTTAACTAAAGCACGAGGTCAGCCTCATGTTCACTGTCAAATCAGAAGGAAGCTGAAATCTAAAGGATGATTGCTTGTTGTTGTGAGCCTCTTCATTTATGTCTCAAGATCTCCTCTGGATTATCTGCTGTTGTGCTCACATGTCTGTGTGTAATTACAAACAGCTTGACACCACATTGTTTTTTAGATCTTAATAATGAGGCGCTCGTGTGTGAGAGATTTTGTGGAATTGATTTTGGCAATTTGAGATAAACCCACGCCGAGCTGCAATGTCCTGTGAGCTGAACTTCACAGCTGTGAGATGTGTGAGGAAATATCACACATGAAGTGTTCGACAAACATGACAGGGACATAACTGATGCTGGAAAATGTATATTCAAAATGAAAGCATGTTTTGAAAAAGATAAGATTGACTTTTAGGGGCTGTTAAGGATGAAAGTATGTCAAAGAAAAAAGGCTTGTTACTCGAGTCTCCACTGCACTCTGGGAAGATTTAAAGAGATACTCTTGACTAGAATGACTCTTTAAATATATCTTATATTCGCAGGATCTAAAAGGTTTCCTGCTTCTCTAACAAAAGGTTTCCCTCGACATTTAAGGCCCATAGTATATGTCTAGATGTGATTATTTGCATGTGTTTACAAACACTATTTCTTCTCTATAGTACCTTTTTGGATCCAGATTCATAGTCATCGTGCAGTAGCAAACACTGAAAGAAAATATACAAAATATATATGAAAATATTTTTTTCTGCATCCTTTTCATGCACATTTCTATAAAAGAATCTTTTCTTGGCTCAGCTAAACACACAATAAAGCCCTGAAAAGGATAACGTGTATATCAGGCTGTTTTATTTTTTTCATTGGATATTATTGCAAACTCTTGAAAGCTGTCCTCTTTATCATTATACTTTTCAGGGGGTGATCCAGATTATCAGAGCAACGGAGGAAATGTTTTTAAAAAGAGTCAATGAACTTTCTATAACCGTCAGTGTGTGCTTCAAACTGGTTCAAGAATCTGTTCTCCTGTCAACTGTACCTACCTGAGGGATCTCCAGACGTATATGTTGTGTTTTGGTTGGAGGAAGACTCCGGCTGTGCCACAGGCCCGTCCATACCTGGTTCTTGGCTTTATTATTTTTTTAATTGCTGTATTACTACTGTATTTGTACTAGCAGATCTCTAGTGTGCAGACTCTTGACTCCAAATACACAGCATGTCAGCTTATGTCACTGGCGTCATTTTTTTGTATGTCTGAATGAGATGGAGAAGCATTGTCCGAGTCACCCAAGCCCTGCTGTTATGTCAGAGGTTTTGTTTCTCTGATTGGTTATCCTGTCCAGAAGACGCCTTTTGGTCTGCTTCAGTTGATAATGCATCTCGAATATCAAAGGTGAACTGAGCAGTTATAGACTAATTAACGTTTGTAAATTGATCAGGTAGGACCAGTATACAATCAATAATACAAGCTACTCTGACAAATTACAAACAATTACAATGTCTCTTTAAAAGTCCCATATCCTCCTCCTCTCTGGAAGGGCTTGGGTGTCTCCGGCTTTCTCGCTCCATGTCCTATTGTTTACGGTGAGAAGGCAGACTCAAAAGGGCAGAACAAACACCTAGCTGTGGGAGTGTCACCCACCTGGGGGAGGGGCTACTGCCCTTTGTGATGTCATGAAGGGAAAATCTCCAAACGGCCTGTTTGAGCACACATTTTCTGAAAAGTGGAGCAGGCAAGAGACGGAGAGGATGTATTCATCTCATATTTAGGGGGGTTTGTGGACAGACTATGGACACATATTAGTGTTAGGAAAACATGGAAAAGTGTATTTTGTGACCTTTAAAGAAAACAAATGGTGTTGTCCTGTAGATTTGCAGTTTATCTCAGATTTAAAACGACATGTTTATGTATGAAAACAGACTTTAATAAAAGTATTACTCAAGAGCTGAGGTTGATAAAAGGGAAGTCACTTTTTACAGCCTTTTGTATATATAAACATTTTCATTTATGACACTTAAAAGACAAAGAAATAAATCAGATATGGAAAAAAAGAAAGAACCTGAGAAAGAAAAATAAAAAAATGCAGATTCTTAAAGCACCATCTAAAGAAGATTAAAAGCAGGCATCATGGGAGACTTTACAACTCGTATGTTTTCAGTCGTGACTGGAGGGACCGATTGGCAAAAAAAAACACACACAGCAAGTGCAACGATGAACATGAAGAGCCGAGTTCACTTCAGTCACTTTTAAGAGCTGAACACGTTCCTTTACCCTCACAAGTTGGTTTTTTTTTTTTTTTTACTTCCTCCTTTTCATGTTCGAGTGCAATCAAAACACTCCATAAAGATGTCGACAGGACGAGAGGAACAACATTGACATTTCACCTTCAGCTGTAGTGTTTACACCCTGGATTACATGATGACAGACTCAAAGAAAAGCTTTCTTATGATCACATCAAATCAAACAGTAGATAAATCAAAAAGAAATTACGTACAACAGATTAATAAGAGAGAATCTCAGTTGCAATTTAAGTAAAAGAGCATTCGGCTGTTTTGTGACTCTTTCACAATAATACACAAAATATACATGATACATGATCTGTAGTGGTCATCTGGGTTTCACAAATAAAACAACAATACTCTGTTTATGTGTCTCTGTGCTGAAAGCTGCTCATACAAGCAGACGGACGTTATTCCATAAAGGCATTTTCTAGCTTATAGATGACGGCTTTCTTTCCGTCAGTTTATGTTCAAACACAAAGATGAAGGTCACCGTTTGTCTTCATGATCCAGCACTGTCACCGGCATGCTCGCTAACAAGACAAGGTGGTAGAATAAGGAAATGATGCTTTGTTTTTCAGCTGTGGTTTGAGCTTCACTTCAGACTTTAAAAGGTCAAAAGATCATTTAGACCAGTGGTTCTCAACTGGTGGGTCGGGACCCAGAGGTGGGCCACAGAGCCATTTTCAGTGGGGCGCAAATGAGTGCCTGGAAAAAGCACCTTTTAAAAGATGTTTCTTTTGTTCAGTTTCTTGCTTCTGTCACACGTTTCAAACCGACTGATGTCTAAACTGCACAATTTTTCAGTCGCTACAAATCTGATTGTTTCAGTCGCTACAAATCTGATTGGTCAGAAAATATCAGAAATTTAGGTCGCATTTTTGCATGGAGGAGTTGGTGGTGGGTCCTGAGGCTAGACGAGTTGACTATGACTGATTTGGACCATAGACTGTTGAACTGAGTGTTTGAGAAAATGCCCCAACTTTTTACTCCTTATATTACCTCCGCTAGCATTTTAGAACCAGTTTGTGACCTTAAGCGCTAGCTACTTTCTTCTTTGTTTTTTTTGCTGATAAAGCGTGATGTTCGATTTGTAAATTGTGGTCATGTTGATGTTAAAAGAGAAGATCAGGATTCTTCTAGGGTATAGCTACCCCGAAACACAAAGTCGCTACCAACACGACAGGAGGGTCGTAATCTAAACCCAACCTATGTTCCAAATATGGTCATTTTTGACTCCGAAAACTAAGATGGCAACTTCTGTGACTTTAAGACATCTAGACCTACTTCTTATAAACAGTCTGTGATGAAACCTCGTTCAAGATGACACAAAAACAACATTGTTTTTTCATATTGATGTTTGAATGTTGAATTCTTTCAAGTCAGTTTTAGTGTTTAGTGGTACATTCCTCAGAATAAAAACCCACAAATATTTCTATCATTACCCAAGCTGCTCAGTCTGGGTAACAAGAACTCTGTGCTGAGGTGCGTTTCTGATTCTTTCAGGTGACGGGTCATGAAAACAATACAGTCATAAACATTAGCTCATCATATGAGGTGTTTGGCGTTTGAAACACAAGAATCAGGAATAATCAAGCCCGTAGAAATGACAGTGAAATAACTTAAACAGCTCTCTAGATTAACTTCTACCGATCGAGGTGATGAAATGTATGCTGCAGCCGAGCACAACACTTTTAAAAAGCTCTTAAAAAGTTTGACGTTGCACTCACATGGAGAAAGGCTGACAGACGGACATCACCTGCTGGATGCAGTCATGTACAGTATGAGGTTATAAAGCAAGTTAGCTACTTTTTACAAATACTTCTTAAATATGTTAAATAAAATGATTTAGCAGCTTTCTCTTCATATTTGATTTTTTTTACTTTAAATTGGAGTTACACTCTGCAAATTAATTGCTCAGTCACTCATTCCTATCATGGATGGTGGAGAATGCGCTGTTTGTTGATTAAATCCCCCTGATTTCTGAGTGTGTCTAAACTCTGCAGAGGTCAGGACAAACTTGAAATATTTGAACTCTGAATGGCTGCACGTCATCTTTCTATCCTGTTACTGATTCCTCTAAAATGATCTCTACGGTAGTTTGCCGTTTATCGTCAGCCTGAGTCCGTGTGAACAGAGCTTCACTTCATCAAAAGTCAGACAGAGAAATAGAAACTTTTCACATGAATGGACAGATTGGCAACTGGGAGAATGCATTGTTTCTGCTTCACACATACCAACAAGCAGCAAGGCTTCAAAAAGGCCTCAAGACAAACACAAAGAAGTCCTAAAATATACTGAAACATCTCTACTTCAGACTCTTACAGGTTATCCCACAGTTACTCCGTTTGCTGTGAGTGTTATAATAAAGTTCAATATGTACCGTTCCATTTGGTCACGACATCACAGTCATCACTGAAAATGTCCAGCACCGTGTGTACACCGTAAAGGTTCTTGTTTTTTTTTCCACAGAAAACATAAATACAGTTAAAACAGAATCCAGTCTGCGATGACTGATAATGTGAAAATAAAAATGAGTTTGTAAAAGTGAACACCGTAGAAAATAAATAGATTTGATAGGAGGCACTGGGGTAGTTCAATGTCTCTGAAAGCTTCCACAGTGTCAGCTCAGCGAGATCCACGGATGCAACCTTTGGAGACAAAGAGACAAAGTACAAGACAAGTATGATTTCACGTATTCAGAAGGACTCCACAGATTCAGCAACGCGGCACACCTGTACACTCCACAAGAGAGAGCAATCACAGCAGATCATGAAATGTCGGATTTCTCATTCCACACTTTCTTATTCAGTGGCAAAGGATGAAACCTCCATTACCCACATTTCAACTGGTTTTCTGATAATCAGTAGCTGAGGATGTTTTTTGACACTGCCTTCTATACTAGTAGTACGAACTGATTTGGCCAAAAATGCAGCACACGTGAGATTTGCAGTATGCCAAAAACTACCAGGATGTTGTACGGATTTGGAAAAAATGCAACAGTATGCATCAGACCAGTCTCCCTCGCGTGCTGTTTCCCACAATGCAAAGGACCAGGTGAGAGATCAAATTGATGGACAGCAACGGCAATCGTTAAAGAGGAAATAATCACAATCAAAACAAACCACACAAAGATAACACCAATCATCTTTTTTGATTCTTAAAGTGATGCAAATCGGCTTTTTTCAGGCTGTTCAGCTGGGCTGTTTTTTACATCCTCATTCCAAGACTGGAAATCAGTTTAGGCATACTGCAAGATAACCACCGACTGTAAGTCATACTACTGTTGAACCAAGTATGCAGTCGTCTGATAATAATTTATTTTAATGATTAAAGGTTGAATATCTTCAGGTACTAATCTTGTGATGGGGTTTTATTGTATTTTTGATTCTGTAACAGTTACTCACTCAGCTAAAAATAATTAAATGAAATTGAGATTAACTGCAGCAGCAAGGACAAATAAAGCCTTGCACACGTACAACTGAGCCTGTGTGTGCTCCTACATCAGACCCACTACATACAGAGCAGACAGGCATCGTCCCTCTATTAGAAACAACGAGCCGAGTTCAAATCTGTCTCTGCTGGCCATGACGGTGCTGGTTTGGGAGGAAGATAAGAAAGGATGTCTTCACTGAATGCAGACTTTGTTGAGTGGGGGGCCCTGAAGTGTAATCTAACATATTTCTGTGATGATCATTACGTCCTGTTAGTCTGCTTTCTTTCTTACTCATCAAGTACAGAGGGAGTCAGACAAATAGCGGACAGATTGTTAGAAATAACTAAATGAAAGAAAAGAAGAAAGAGCAGAGCTTCTGAGACTCATCAAGCGGCAACTTTTTTTTAATGCTTTATGTTTTTTGGGTAAACGTGTCCGCAAACAAGCCTGTATTGACACATTTAGGCTGTGAACACAACACTGCTTTGAGTTTTTGTTTGTCATCACAACTTTTGCAATTACCCTCCCCTTTACTCAGACATTTTAAAACTTCTTAAACAGAGACTTGTTATCTCTCTGTTAAAAGTGTTTGTGCAGCATAAACCCATCAGACCAAAACTACTCTGGCTGGCAGAAAATTTGCAAATTTCTCCCACAACTAAGGCACATAAAATAAATGACTACAACTGTTAAAAGGTTGGGATGTAAAAAACTCATTATCTAAAGAGAAATCTTTATATAATATTTTTGCTTCTCTGAAATCACCTGTATCTAAATTCTGCTCTTAATTTTGCAGTGTGCATTTTTTACTTATTTTTTTCTAACACTTGTGCCGACATCTGGGAAAACACTGACTCAGCGTCATTATCTTTAAGCATTAATGATCTATAATTAATGATATTTCCATGACGTCTCAGTCTGTTTGAAAAGAATCAAATGATCACTTTGATGCAAAACAGCTCCCAATTTGTTCATGTGAAACTAATCTTTGCATAAAGTGAAATCGACATCAAATGTTTCTGAAATTAGATCTATATACCCAACAGAGAATCCTCCCTTTCCCTTTTAGGAAATATAAAGAACAAAACTTACAAACTGATCATTGCACCTTGAAGCTAGGGTCGGTTGATTCAAACAATGTCTCATAATGTTTCTTCACAACAACAACAACAACAACAACAACAACAACAACAGGCACACAAACAAACACTGAGCTATGGCACAGGTAAAGCCAGGAAATGCAGAGGGATCATTTACTTTGTGTTGGAGTGCTGGATCACGAGCAGAAGCTTCCTCCGCTGGGAGAGACGGTCTGTAGAGGAATCAGGCTTTCACACTGCTCGCTGTCATCCGTCTGTCTGTGGGAGCAGGAAACGGCGCGTCAATCATCATCACGAAAAACATCATTATTATAATCATCCTTCACCAAACGGGAACAAGTGTGCACAGAAGAATGGAGAAGATAACCGCCACAGCGAGGATTGTCAGTCAGGCATGTGCGTCTGATTACGGAGTTAACTCAGCGTGGCTGCAAATGGACTCGTGGTCGTCCTTGTGGGAATGTCACAGGAGAAAAAAGGGGTTTCGGGTCAACTCATTTTAATAGGTCACACGCCACAATGCAATGAAAAACAACTCGCTGTCTATTCAAGATGTTCAAAGCTTTGACTTCTGAACAGCTGGACGGAGAACCATTGTGCAGAATTTTCACTTTATATCTCAAAAGGCTTTCCTCTGTGAATTTGTGGAAATCAATTTGAGCAAAAATGAACCCAGAACAGTGTGTGTGTGTTTGCAGAATATCTTCCATTTGCCTTTTAACAAAAGGAGCTCATGGAAGCAGAATTTCCCCCCATTAAGCGTGCATGTCTGTGTACACTCTTTTTAACAGTCATAGTAACCACATTTGACGTTGTTGAGGCAGTCTGCTGGAAAATGAGTCAAAGTGGTGAACAACCTGCCTGAAGAAAAGAGAGACCCCATGAAAAGACTGAATGATGTGTGTGAGGATGTTGTCATGTGATGAGTCAGGTTAGATAACTGTGAATCCCAAGTGGTAATGCACGTCTGTGGCGAGACAATTTCACTTTGAGAGCCTTATATGATTATGTATCTATTGTAAAAAGACAATCTTCATTTGCTGCTATGATGACTTTAAAGGAGATCTATTATCCTCTCTTCAGTATTCATCATGTGAGTCTGGGACACCTATCTGCCTGAAACTATTCATTTCAGCTGTTGTTTCCACCAAGCGGTCCGTTTTGGTTCGGTACAGTTTGGTTCAGTTCGGTATGGTTCTCAGTTCTTGCTTGCGTTTCCACAGCCAACCGTACCCTTATTATTTGGTAAGCTGAGTGTAAGCCAGATGGAGATAACATTATGTAGGTATAAGGACAAGTTCTAACAGATGTTATCTAAAGACACTTTACAAAACAAACTACTCAGACAACCAGCCAATCAGAGAAAAGTGAACCTGCAAAATAAGGTCAGCTACAAAATAATGTGACATCATAGCAGTCCAACACAGTGTAGCCCACTATTAATTAGTTAAACGAAGAAGAAGAACGGGACTAAGTAAACAAAAGGGACCCTTTAAGTTCCGTTTCCACCAAGTGGTCCGGTTCAGTACAGTACCCATTTATTGGCATTTCCACCGTCAAAAGTTAGGAATGGTACCAAAATAAGGGATCTGTACTGTCCTACTTTTTGGTACCCTTCTGTTTGAGTGCCAAGGGAACTGATCCGACCCTAAAGGGTCCCTTTTGTTTACTGTTCCATTCTTCCATTCTTCTTCTTTGTTGAACTTAATTAATCGCTTGTACTGAACCAAACCGGACTGCTTGGTGGAAACGGGTTTTTAGGGTCGGATTGCTACCCGTGGCACTCCAAAAGAAGGGTACCAAAAAGTAGGATGGTACGGATCCCTTGTATTGGTACCATTCCCAACTTTTGACGGTGGTAATGCCAATAAATGGGTACGGTACAGAACTGAAGCGGACCACTTGGTTTTTTTTTTAGACCAGCCCCACCTCCCCACAGGTTCACTTTTCTCTGATTGGCTGGTTGTCTGAGTAGTTTGTTTTTTAAAGTGTCTTTAGATAACATCTGTTAGAACTTGTCCTTATACCTACATAATGTTGAGTTTATTAATATATTATATATATATATATATATATACACTCTTAACAGTGTTAGCTTTATCAACATTATTGATCATTAGAGCTCTGAACTGAGCCTCACAGCACTGCTGGTGTGGACAGAATTACACTGCATTAGGTTTTTCTTTGAACACGTCTATGTTTTAGTAACTCCTCATCTTTCATCTCGATAGAGCGAATAAGTTCAGAACTTTTTGTTAGCTGTCTGAAACCGCAGGTGTTGAAGTGTCCCTCTAAAACAGTCCCTGCTTAAAAAGAGTGACCTTGCTAAAAAGAGTGAAGTTGGTATAGACGTTGACTTTTAAATGTCTTAATATTGTACCTCAAACAGGTACCTCAAGTGTTGTTTTTATAAACTGAAACCAGCAGCTGCTTCAAAGGTAAGAAACCCTCATGTCTGTCACAGAGGATGCGTCACCTCTGTAGCATCAAACCGCTCGTACCTGTGAATTCGATGTTTTCTGCATATGAAGACGTATACCCTCCTCAGCCCCACCAGCACAGGATCCCAATTGTTGTAGTGACATAAGAGCGTGGCGATGAAGAAGGAGAGGAAGACGGGGACCGCCCCGGCAAAAAACAGCCACGAGAAACGTACCTATCCACGGACACATTTTAAAGGAAATCATGTTTTTACAACTACAGTCATTACTTTAGACTTTAGATCCATTCTTTTTGAAGTTTGAACATTTATTTAACTCCAAATTTAATAAACATTTATGCAGGGGAAATTCCTCAAAAAGACTAGTGTGCGCACATCCAAGCAAACTGCAAACAGGTGCAGGACAAAAAGGCTGTGAAGAACGTTGGATCGAAACGTTGCCCTTAATGAAGTTGCTCACTGGGAGCTGAACAGTGTGCAGACTTTTCCCTTTTTTCTATATGGGGAATTCCACCAACTTCTTTTAGTGATATTTGGGGTTCATATGACAAATAGGTACAAAACGTTTTGATATTCTTGCAATAGTGGCGTCAGCTGGAAGCCATGAAACGGGCTTCAACGGCTGCAAAGTAAATGTGCACTTAAGCACTAACACTTCCTGGTTTTTACACTCACATGCTTTGATGGTAATCTGAAGAGATAAATTCGAAATAAGATTAAAAAAATATAGAAAAACTGTCTCCACAACCACAAAGCTCTATTGACAGAAACAGGAAGTTGCTGGTCTTCTGCAGTCTTGGTCAGGTAGCTATTTTGTGTTATTTTTGTAACTTTTGGCGTTTCAAATCTAACACATCCATAAGACGTGAAAAATAACAGGAAGAGGCAGCAGTGATCGATCAACTTGTGTGTTTTCTGAGGTAAAAATGACTGTTCAATGGAGTCTTTTACAAAGAGCGATGTAAAGTCTGCATCTGTTTAGAAAAAAGCATCTATCTAGAGGGTCCATCTCTGTAGGGATTCCTCTTGTTATGATGTCAGACTGTTGGAATAAAAGTCTGAGTTTGTCAGTTAAAACGTCACTGTTAGTGGATGATCTTTAATTGGATGCATTTGCCCCTCAACGCTAAGAGGTCAGCCTTTACAGCCCGTTAACCTATAAGTCGTTTAGACTTGTATAAATAAAAGGCAGAGTTTTAAAAATCGTGGTATTATCCAGACATGAGAACCATATTTTTCATTTTCTTTCTGCTCAAATCGTCTCTCTTCAGACTGATGTCTTGTTGATGTCACACGTACATTATTTTGGATCTCATTTCAAACTCTGGCTCTGATTGTTGAGCGACTGAAGTGGAAAACTTACCTTTTGCATGCAAATATCTGCAATAATAGAGAGTGGGATGGTGAGGCTCAATGCCAGAGTCCCGATTAGAGACGACGTGAGGAAACAGCCCCTGTGAACAGAAAGCATCGTCATCGGTTACTAAATTAAAGTCATCAATCCTAAGGATAAGGACGGTTAAACATATTTTGAAGTGAGTCTCAGTATAGAAAGCTACTCGAGTGAGAGTATGTAAATTGTGATAATTGGGTGCCAGGACTGAGACATTTACCAGAGCCACAGGAACTCGGAGAGGACAGTTCCTATGAGGCCGTTGATGAGGATGTAGGTCCACACCAGCTGGCTGGGAAGCTCAAAGGCCTCGAAGCCCGTGTAGTGAAGCACGAGGAAGCCAGGCCACAGCAGCAGAAGGTTGAACAGACCCACAAACCCTGAGAGACACACAGAAGCTCGGGTTTAGACAGCTCTAGAGACTCCTTCTGTCCGCTACAGAGGCGACAACTTCATGAAGGGATAAACTGCCACGCTAAATCCTGGGTTTGTTTAAGTACAACAAGGTGCAGAGACAGCTAAAATTCCGACATTCAAGGCTAGAGAATACACAATGAGTATTAGTTTACCAAAGAACATGGGAATGTCGAGCTTGTCCTCCCGATCCACTCGTCTCTTGATCATCACGATGTAGACGGCGTACAATATCGCCCCCGCCAGTGACCATAAAGAACCTTAATGTGAATTTAAAACCAGTTACATTGGGTAATAAAGTTTGTCACAGTGATGTCACAGTGATGTCACAGATGCACGCTATCACTACGGTTACCTGTGACACCTTTTCCATCAGGATTGTCCATGCTGGAGAAGCTCACGAGGGCCACACCTCCCATACTACACAAGAAAGATAAAACATGAAGTCAGTCAAATACAAAGGATTTGTAAATACTTAAAATACTTCAAAGTGAGTCAAAAAATATTAAGAAAAATTGTTTTAAAAATTCCGTACATTGTTCATGTATTCTGGTCAGGTTTCTTTAGTGTAGATTAGACCCTTGAGCACACAGTGAATTATGTTAATCGTATAAATTTGAAAGTACAGAAGCGATAAGTGAAGTGTTCTCTATATCAACGTAAGCGTATAGATATGAAGCTGGTGGATGTAGATGTGTGACATTGGATTCTGATAGAAATTATTTGAAGAGACTGAAAAAGACCAAACAGTAAAATGAGGATTATAAGTGGAGACAGTCGATGCTCACAGACGTGCTTCAGTTGCAGCCACTGTTTCACTTGTGTTACTTTTCTCATAATCACCGGCTTCTTTAACAGAAAGCTATGATATCTGGGTCAGACTGCGATTAGTATAATGTGCTTAGGTATGCAGCTAATAATACTCCCAAGAGTTAAGGGATGGATTTGTTTGAAAACATACATGAACCAGAAGTAATGAGAGGAGGAAAGCTGGGATGCTGTGAAGCTTCACCGGCTGTAACCATTAAAAATCAAAGGATATGTCACTAAAAAAAGTCAGCTTCAGGAACTTCAACTTCAGATAGCTCCCCCAAAGAGAACAGAAGAGAACATGTAAAGTATGCAGACAGGAGGAACTGATATGCGTTCACCGGATCAGATATATTCCTGTTTTTTTGGGGGTTTTTTAAATTAGAAACACTCTCACTCAACTCTCACCTCAGAGCCACAGCTAACAGTTTGGACAAGGTGAAGCGGTCGCTGCTGTTGCTGGGAAATATGGCTGCTAGGACGAGCGTAAACAGGCCTGAAGAGTGAGGATGGAGAGACAGAACAAGAGAGTTGAATCAGACGGCTCATCAGACAAACCAGTCAAAGACCTGTGGGTAAATCATTTGCAGGCTGAAAAAAACACATGATGGATTCTACCTAACCAGAACACAATTTCAGAAAGAGAGAGAGAGAGAGAGAGAGAGAGAGAGCAAGATCTACCTGACGTGGATGACAGGATGTTGACAATGGCGACCTGTGTGTCAGACAGAGCTTCCTGATAGGACAGGTTAGCCAGGAACCACTGCAAGAAAAAAAAAACAGAGGCACTGATGAGACATTTTTTTATCAGGAGCAGACTAAATGATAAACACATGACAGAGCCACCACAGCCCTGAGCTAAATACCATCTATCTTACTGTATTCAACACACTGTTTAATCACTCAGGCACTACTTTGTTACGTCATAACGAAAGAAAAAAAGAAAAAGCACTTTGACTTTTACTGCAAGGTTTGAAAACTTCAAAAGGTGCCCTGTGGCTTTGGGGTCACAGGGAATTTTGGCCAAGCATTATATGAATTTCTAATCAGTCATAAGGTTAAATGTAGTCTTTGAAATCCAAAAATCTTCTGTTTTTTTTTTTTTTTTAATCAAAGTAGTATGTTCAGCTTGTATAGCTGTACATACTCTGCCTACATGTACCAGAATGCATTGTGCACAAAAAAGCTGCAGCTCCAGACTCATGGCAAATCATCATTATTGTGATATTTCTTTTTTTTTTTTTTTAATTGGTGGACGGCTTTTCGCGGCCCACCTGCAGTACCCACACGGCCCACCAAGGGGCCGCGGCCCACACTTTGGGAAGCACTGGTATAAATATTTGACACTTTAACAACATACAGCCTCAGAAATCTTAAGGTCACATGTCTCTGACACTGAGGCGTAGTCTTTACTTGAGGGTTGTTGGATCTATTAAATGTGAATTTATCAGATTGACTCAATGCCAATAAGAAGAGGGCCAGAGCTAAGATTATGTCAAATCAAATGTGTATTGTTACAGTCTAATGATCATCCTCCAATCATGTCCAATCTCCCAAACATTTTAAAACGTTGATGTGATTTAATGTGGTCCCATGTCCCTGACTCTGCTCGAATGTAATCCTGAGGTTCTTTATTGCGCTCAGAAGATGAGTCACTAATGAAAAGCAGTTCATCAGGGGGAAAAGCTGCATGATGAATGTCTTATATTATCATTTGATGCTCATAAACCATCACTTTCTGCACACAAACATCAAACATGTGCATTTACTCTCTTTAAAAATACAACTAAACACATGAAAGGTAAATGTGATGGCAGCAAAACAGACTTCACATTTCACTGAGTGGAAAAACAAAAGAGTTTGACTGTTATTAATTACTCTTCATTAAAGATAAGAGCAATGCTAAATTAAAACTACAGAGGAGAAACACTGCATGCTGTCGAGTTGTTTGAGGTCTTAAAATGCATCCATGAAGTTTGTCAAACATCAAACTGCAAAAACAGATTTCTTTTTTGCAATCAAACCGGTGAAACAAGCCGTAGACACGACATCATTTTTCATGATTACTAGTGTTGTTGTTAATATCATGTGTGAGGTTACACCCCGACCTTTTGATGGAGAGAGGGCTGACTACCATTTAGCCACAGCCGCCCTCTTCCCCACATGTCATTCTCCACTCTCTCTCTCCCCAGTTTCCTACTCAATCCCCTGTCCTCTCTGATAAAATGCACAAAAGCCCCAAAATAGATCTTTAACACTCCATCGTGTCTGTAGTCTGAATTACTTATTTAAAAACTCAAATCTGGCCTCTACTTACCACAAAACAAAAGAAGAAGCTGATTTTGGCCACATCAGTGATGGTGAGCTTGCCCACTGTGCGCAGCATGGCCTCGTGGTCTCTGGCAGCTGGGTACGACATGCGGGACAGTTTGGCCTCCAGGGCCTGAGTGGAGGGAAGCTGACGCACCTCCATGATGTTACTGAAGCGAACCCGCTGCTTTTTGGAGGCTGCTGGGTGGAGAAAAAAACAGAGAACGTTCTGAGACTTCATTTCAGTATGTAGAAGAATATCATTTGATATTTTAATTTTAAATAGAGGTGCCAAACGTAAAAGACGTTTGAAACACACTCAGGGCAGACACCAGAGAAACATGACAATGAGTTGTCTAAGAAAATTTACTCTTGGCTTCTGATTTTAGAGGTGCACTGCCTTTCTGCCATTAGCTCTGCATATGGAGGCCAGTTACACTAAGCCTTTCCTGAACAGCATCACTAAAAAGATTTGCAGGAATTAATCAGATCCTCTATTCTTCTGTGTAATAGCCTGCAGACAGAGAAGAGCAAAGTCCTTTTGATCATTTGCTCTTATCATGATACTTTGTGAAACGAGAGAGGAAAGAAAGAACTGAAATTTGAGGTTCAACTTGTGGTCATGCAGAGGTTTCTCTAGAGCCGTTTTCACATAAGCACTCTGGATAATATCTAGATAATTGCGGGAGGACTGCTCCAGATGTTCTCCTGACCTGGGTGTTCACATATGCTCCTCACAGCAGGAGACTATCCCTTGTCAGAAAGAAGGGGGGCAGGGGGTCTCCTGAGGTAAAACGTGACATTAAAACAACGATGTGGAAGTAACGCACGAAGCAACAGAGCCTGCTGTTGTCTGGCCTTAAACAATTAATGTGTATGAAAGTGGACGGCAGCACCCAAAGGCTCTTTAGGCTACTTGGGTCTAAGGTCATTCAGAGGGGGAAACACTTGAACCAAGTTAATAAATATGCTTCATGTTATTTATTAAAACACAGACAACATCAACGATGTACTCACCAGACTCACAGTCTCCTATTAAACAGTTTGAATGCTCCGCAGGTACATCCTGGAACTTCACTGGAACGTAAAGCGGCTCACTCTGCGTAAGAGCGAGAGACAGACAGTTAGAGCTGTTCAGGGGAAGAGTTACATCTTGTTGCTGAAATCAAACTTTATATTGTAGTTCTGTAAGCTGTTCAAACTTTGATGATGGGTCTGTTTACCCCAGTAGTTTCCGACTGGTATGGCAGACGAACAGTTAACACTCCTGTGCTCACTTGTTCACTCTTTTTAAGCACCCTCATGTGATGGCAATATTTTGTTTTACTTCATTTATAATAATTGTACTGTTTCACTATTCGCTACCCACTAGGGCTGCACGATATTGGATTAAAACTGACATTGAGATACCTTTTCTATCTGGGATTTGCAGCATATTGTGATATGATGAATACAGAAAATCATACCATGTAATAAAGTCTGCATTTTATGTACACATTAGGCCTGCATGCTTATAGAAAATGTACGATGTGTGATTACTTTGTTCAATATTTCAATAACCAAATGAAGTGCAAAACCAAATATGACAGAATGCATGTTATCTATCACTCAGTTTTTATATCAATCTGCTGTTCTTAAGGATTTACACGATGGTTGTTTTTGCAAAATGTCCCAACTGAAGAAAAAAAAAAGGTTGACTACTAAAATGGCATCAATTAATCTGAGGGTTGCTGATAGCTGGCTGGACTTTCATTTAACTGTAAGAAACATGTTGAAGCATTAAACCTGGGCCTCCTTCAAAGGGACAAAATGTGCACATACTGAGTGAGAAATAATATCCTTTCTTTTTTTATTGCAATGAATTCAGACTTTTGCCATGTTTTTATTCTTAAAGTTCATATTGCACTAACGACGTCATAGCGATATATTGTGCAGCCCTGGTTTGTAGCCACACTGCAAAATTGCACCCACATGGTTCAAAAACTACCTAAACACAAAAGTCAGTTACACCTTACACTACTCTGATTTTAGGAGTTGTAATTTTCCCCAAACTTACCAAACAGTTGTTCACAGTGGTGTCAGTGGAGCAGGGTGCAAAGTAGGCCTCAGCATCAGCAAACTGAAGAAAGAAACAATTTGAAATTATCAACCTTTGCAAGAAAAAAAACAAGAAATCTGAGTCAGTCTGCTGTTGATAGTGTTCAGAAAAATAAAGACAAGAAACCATAAAGAAATATTTTTTTGTGATTCTTCATTATTCAGGTTGGGAAGTGTCTAACATGTTTGGGTAAATGTAAAACATTTAAACATACTGCCCCCATGTGGAAATAGTGTGCACAAGTTACTTACAAATGCAGAGTGCCGACGTTTCAGGGTGCCCGTGCACTGCTGCCTCCAGGGTCGCCACAGCAGGAAACCCAGCAGATACAGAACGAACATGGAGGTCTTTGTGAATGTGCTGAAGAAGGGTTTGTTGTACTCCTGCCGCTTGAAAATATACTGTGAAAAAACAAACAAACATCGGAAGGAGGTTATTTACTTTACATTTTACCTTTTGAACCAACATGTTGTAAGCTGTGAAATCTTCATTTTATGCACTGTTTTTTTTGTTAATATGTGTCCAATGCTAGGTGTCTTTTTCTGTCATGCATTCCTGTTTGTTTTGCATTTCATATGGAGAGCAACACATTCTATTTACTCTGCTGCTGTCCAGGAGGAATCATTGTGCTCTTTACAACAGTACATGTATCCTCTCTGGCTAAAGTGTATCTTTGTTTAGTTATTCCTTTAGTTGTTCTGCTACACTTTTTGACTTAACTTGACATTTTTTTTTTTTTTTTTTAAGATGTATTTTTGGGGCCTTTTTGCCTTTATTAGAAAGGACAGCTGAAGAGAGACAGGAAATGTTGGGAGGAGACAGTGGGGAAGGATATGCAGCAAAGGGCCAAGGTCAGATTTTTACCAACAGCTGCTGCATCGAGCATATGCAAACTATATACTCTGTACATGGGGCTGGCAACATAACCGCTAGGCTATACGATGCCCCCAGTGGAAGTCCGTTTGCTGTTATGTTGTTGTCTTCCGATGTGAGCTACAGAGAACCACTTATTGTGCTTTCTCTTGTAACATTACCACTTCCACTGGAAATGTACGGCACCCCTTTAAGATGTTTGACACTGTGAGACGATCTATAGTTTTACCTATTCAGCAGCACGTAGATTAATTTGAGTGTCTGCAAAGTTAATACTTAAAAGTTCACACGTAAGGAGTCTAACAATCTAACGAGGAACAGCTGTTAAATGATTTAGCACTTTACTTTTGAAACTAAAAAGTATGGATTGTAACTTTTAGATACTCAACAGTGTTTCAGTGACAGTAGAAAGGTAGTGACATGTTTTTTTTTTACATTGTTATTGTGTGTAAATGACTTGTAGGTTAAAACCATTCTGGATTTGCTCCAGTAAATCTCCTCAGCCTTCAGCTGCGACATTTCTGGAATGGCTTCAAAGTAATCCCTGCAGAGAAATTCCCCCGATAAAAGGACTGCCTTCTGAAGTGTCAGTATGTGCCACTGATAGGCTCAGATTGTTTTACAATTGTTGAGTGTCTGACAACATTACAGAAAGTATCCCAACAATGATAGAACTTTTGGGTGAAAGGTGATGTGCTTATTTTGAAACCAGAAACAGATTTTACATCGCTCTACTCAAAGGCTCCAGACTCCTTTGAAAAAAAAAAAAATAATAATTCTTTCAGAGCATGTTAGTTGTTGGTGTAGCGCTTCCTCAGATGGTTTGTGTCGATGTCTGACTATGTGGTGGAGATGTGCGCGTTGAGTCGACTAAAATATTAAATGATGTCACTCTAGCTCGTTAGCGGCAGAGCAGTAGTCGGTTTAACACATTACTAATATTTTTCAGATGTAGGCCTTCAATGCCGGTTATTGTTATGTTATATGTCCAAGCTGTAAAGCAGCCACCCAAACGCCTTCTCTTCAGGCTCTGCTGCTGAATGTAAACAAGCCCAGTGAACTGATCTGAACTCATCTCGGAGAAGAAGATTGTTTGGCTGTTTTTTGATTTAGAAACTGGAGATGAAGTTGTGTGTAGGCTGTGTCAGGTAAAACTGGAAAATATTGACCAGAGCTATGCTTATTCACATTTAGGACAGGAATGTGGACGTTAAGGACCAAAGACTGCTAACATTAACCAAATTATGTTGCTTAACCCAGACTATTTTAAATAAACGGTGCTCAATTTTGACTGTTTTCTTGAATGTAGACTTGAGGGTTAAACTGAATTTAAATTTGCATTTAATCTACTTTGAAATTAGTCGCATAGGAACATCCCTACTTTGTTGTTTTGAAAAGTGGATGCTGATCTGTGTTATGCGAGGTAAAAGAAGAAGTTTGGTGGATTTTAATAGAGCTATGTCACCACTTTTTCTTGTTCCAAAAAAGCATCTTACTCTATGACAAAAAAAATGTCCTCTCTTCAGAAGACAATCTTAACGGTTTATATCTGCTAATCATTGTCACACAAAACATGTAAACATAGGGCCCCAGTTCATACATTTTAAAAACTCTGCATAAAGAGTTTGAGAACCTTATGAAGCCTTTGTCTGGGGAGAAACAGAGATAAATGAGAAAGAACCCGATCTATAATTCAGATTGTTGCCTCTTGATCCAGGAACGGTTCAATACACTCTGTTGTGTCATCTGCAATACATCTTGCAACAGCAGGTACAAATGAAGAAAAACTGTTTGAGTGCTACAAAGTCCTTACCGATGTTAGCTCAGAGGAGGCCACCCAGATGACATCCACCAGCAGAAGTATCACCACCCCGAGCGCCATCCGCCTCCGCTGGGCTGCAGAGCTACCCTGAGAGCTCATCCGGTTCATGATGAACACCCACTCCATCAGTACACTGTTAAGAGATGCAAGATATTTAAGTTGTTTATTAAGCACAGGCAAAACACTTGTTCCAGTATCGGACAATCATTCACAGGCAGAGCTACGGGTGACTGTAAAATAACTTATTCAAATGGCAGTGCACACCTGTTTGACGAGATAATTTACCCTCTGAGATTTGTCCTTCTATCTGGAGAGCCAGCTCAGATTCACTGCATAATAGAGAATATCAAGAGCAACCATGGGACTCACATTTCAGGAAAACCTGCCACAGCAAAGGAAACCAAAGACAGTGTTGTTAATGTTTTTAAAACAAAGTACTAAAGCTATAGTCACAGAAACACATGAGCAGGCATGCCATCACTCTAATGAGACATTTTCAGCAATGAATAAGCAATTTAAGGCAAACACGTTTACATTTGTAGTTCCCAGGATGTTTGACTATCTAAATATCTATATTTACTGTTAGCTTAAGCTAAATGCCAGCTAGCTAAATTTCAGCTGTTTGTGGTGCAAAGCAAACGACTCCAGAGCAAATAGAGCTGCTATATTACACGTACTTAGAAACAGGGTATGTGTATGTTTCTGTTTTACAAACGGGTAGATCAAATTAAAGGTATGCGTTTTCACCTCACACGACCCTCTCCTGCAACAACTTAACAAGCTAGCTTTAATGCTAACAGTTTAAGTAGCTATTACTGTAGCAGACAAGAGGTCAATAAGTCATGCTGAAGTTCATAATGTAACGAAAAGTTAAAGCTGGTTCATTCAATGTGAGTTTGGTCACCTCCAGCATGTAATAAAACCGCATTATTACGTTTAAATGTTTATCAAACTCAGGTTTGTAACGTTGACGAGCTAAAAGCTAACAAGCTTGTTTGGTTAAGTGACCAAATGTTTAATTAAATAAGTATTTTTTTTTACCTGAATGAGATAAAACGTAATTCATCTCGCGCCATTATTGACTTGTTTAATCATTTCCTGTTTAAACATCGACACAATCCAAGTTTACGATACAAATATTGACAGCCCTACGGTTGTAAACATTAGCACACTTTCCTGTCTGCACTATCAGGTGACATCACTTATCTGCCGCAGAGGCTTCTGGGAAATGAAGTCCTTGATATGGGGGAATCGTGATTTGTCTTTTTAAACTTCTTTAACGACCATATTGATTAATTCAGTCTATTTAAGAAAGCTTTGCTATGTAAGAGGACTAGGGCCAGACATGATAAATAAATAATAATAGTTGAAACATAGAGAAAAGCAACAAACATTGATTTTCCTGCAAACTGATCAATTTCTATGTTCTAATTTGGACCTTTATGCAACATTTGTTAATTCTGTTCTACTCTTGTGTCTAATTTTTCACCTTTATAGCGCATTCATTTGCAATAATACATGCTTTAGTGTTAATAATATTAAACATGTAGACTTTAAACATTCTTATTTGTCTGCACTTTTTAGCTGTGCAGAATCTCTAAAGCTGCAGCTGTACACATTTAGCACATGTATAATTAAATTGTAGGTTTGCATGACATTACTGGATTTATTTAGGTTTGTGAATTCACTTGTAATATTTGAAATCAATGTGAAAATAGAAACATAATCCAGAGTGTGATAAATTTACGTGACACGCTCATTCAGTGAAGAAGTTTTTCTGGAATCTTTATTTTGATAAATGGAGGATAGGTCTGGAAGAAGTACGTTTCATAAAGTGGCATAAACAACACAAATCTGATCCCTGATTTATATGTATAAATGAAATCACGCCCTGACATTCTATCCATCAAAACTTGCTTCAGTGGCCTATTTCCTGTTCAAACCGTATCCTGGAGGTCGACAATCATGACATATTTTTTATCTTGAGGTTATCCACCAGTCGTCCTAAAAAGTTGGTATTGACTTTTTTTTGGTACATGCTTCATACAAACAACCAAATACTGATTAAACCTGCAAACATTGTTAACGATATTTTAAAAAGATTCATTCTGGATAGAGGTGCTGCTTGTCAACAGGCAAGGTAGGCAACTGCTTGGGGTGCCCACACCTGTAACAGGGCCCCCAGAGGGCTCACAAACTTTAAACTACAGCAGTGGTTCAAAATGTTAAAAGTTTGCAATGACAGTAGGAAACCTCCCCCGGGGGGCCCCAGCGTCACATTTTTATTCCTGTGAAAAGCTCAGTCTGTCAATGAAAGTCACCAAAAGACAAATGAAGAGGAGTTTTAAATTGTCACAGTATTTTCACTTAAAGTTATTTATTTAAGTTTTAATTGATCTAGTTTTTATCATCCGTCTATTAACTGTTTTTCCGTTCGGGGTTGTGGGGGGGGCTGGAGCCGATCCCAGCTGTCATTGGAGTCAGAGTACCCGAAGAGAACCCACACATGCACGGGGAGAACATGCAAACTCCACACAGAGACTCATGTCAGACGGAGATTAAGTATAAAGTAACAGGGATAACTAATGCACCACTGTGAAGCCCTCATTTATATCTTGTCTTTGTATTTATATTTTGAATTATAAGGTCCACAATTCTTTCTGGTGTTAGAATATTTATAACATAATGGTGATGAAGGCTGCTGGAAGGGGCCTCAGTAGACTCATTCTGGATCAATGGAAAAAAATGGAGCTAACACAAGTGAAGCACACAGTAAAGCTTTGTTGTTGTTTTTTATTTATTTGCTAACTAATGACCATCAGTGGAATTGCTCCACACATCAAGTTACCTTGAATTAGTTTTATTTTTTTTTTTCAAAATCTGTTTTCTACAAATACAAAAAGAAGAAAGATATTTCTCTGAAATACAGTAAATCAGTGAGATGTTTTCAAAGGAAAGAGAAATGTTCATTTATTTTCGATGTATCATTCTGCATCTTCACTCCCGCTTCCAGCCTCAGGTTCTGGGGTCGCGGCTTCTGCATCTTTTTCCGGCAAATGGAGGTCTGAAGGTTCAGGCTGAGACGTCTCCATCGCTTCCTCTGCTGGCTCTGGTTGAGGTGATGGTGTCGCCTCTGCTCGTGTCAGATCCACCTGAGTAGAATCAAAATTTAGCATTCAGTGCAAAACCCTTTCAGCTCCACTTTTAGCTGAATTTTTTGAGAACAGCATTTGTGATAACATTTTCATTTTTCATGAAATGACTCCCTAAGTATAGGGTTGGAAAACTAAATTAATCTAGAGGGAAAAACACATTTGATATAAATGCAAATGTAATATTAAAATATGCCCCAAAACCTGACTCTGTTTATAAGTGATAGTAGCCAGCACATATCATAAATCATTTATGATTCGTCGAAGCTTGATGTTACCTCTGGAACAGTGTCGACAGCTTCCTCCTGAATCACTGGATCAGACTCATGTTGCTCCATCGGCTCCTCCTCCTCTTTCATGACTGCTGGGAGCTGTTGTACTGGCGTATCCGGCCGTTGTAGTGCTTCAACGGGAACCTCTTCCTCAACTGGAACTGGGACAGGATCTGGTTCCATCTGTATGATTGAACATAGGAAAACTTCTGAATAAACACATTTTATATATGTTGTTTTTGCCATACTTAAATAGACAAATTGAGCAATTATGAATGTTTTTAAACCAGTGGAACAGCTTTTTAAAATCATACTCATATCTTCACATACCCCTTTCTCCACGACAGGCTCCACAGGCTTCGGTTCTGTTTTTTTATTTGCTTCCAGGACCGACATGATGGAGTTAGGGATGTGAGCTTGCTGTTGTAAACAAAACAGCAGAAACGGTCAGTTTATAAGTAAATCACAAAGGATTGAAGATGCTTAGACTGTGCATTTTGTTCGGTAAACTTGGGAACTACCCGTACCTGATGAGGTGTGAAGGAGTGGACGTGCTGCAGCAGAGGCTCTCTCATCTCCGGGCAGCGTTCAAACACGCTCGTCAGCTGTGCAGGAGGCAGCTGGAGGAGCACGCTGAACGACTGAGGCTTCGTCCTCTGGCAGCATTTCACAAATCCCTCCCACACCTTAGGATACTTCCACACCTACAGGAAGAAAGAACAACCGATGTTAGACAGCAAAAATGCTGGAATAAATGTAAAATCTGTGTATTTAGCTGGAGTTTGGTGCTGACCTGCTTGACGATGAGACGGGACAGGATGTTCATGACGAAGCCTCCCAGACGGGGGTACATTGTGAGGGACTGGATGACGGTACGCATTAACAGCATGGGGAGGGGACTCTGCTCCATCAGCTGCTGCATCACCACGGCCAAAACCTCTGATGTGTAAACGTTCTTCTCTCCAAAGCACAGGTTGGTGGCTGTGTAAGAGAGGACATTTTTATGGCCAGGTGTTGTACATGTATTACCTACTTGTCAGAATCAGCGATGAAGCAGTGTAACATTAGAAATAAATTACAACTTTGAGGGTTTTGTCTCGACATTACCCACCTTTGATGATGGACTTCATGTCACATTTGGTCGAGTCGATGTTGTGTAAGGCAATGAGCAGGTCTCCTGGAGTGAGAGGGGACACAGATGAACTGCCCTCACCTGAAAGAAAATACACAACAGATACGACACATCAGAAAAAAAAACTTCAGCTGGAAAAATCTTCAACAGAAGCACAGAAATCAAAACTGGTATTGAAAAAAAACTCAATTTATAAGGAGATAACAAAAAAATAGGAAAAGGATCACAAGGGAAAAAGAGAACCCTCTGAAGAATATAATACATCCGTTTCATAATAATCCATTTATAATAATGCAGCAGTTGAAGACATGAATGAAACTTACTGTGCTGAGTGCCCAAGAGACGGTTGAAAACCTCCTTCACTACTATCGGGTTGAGTTTAATCAGCTTGGGCAGAGCCTGGATGACTTCGTTCTGTCAGAGGGAAACAGACAAAATGCTGAGTGAAATCCAGCAAAGAATCCATCTTTTTTTATTACCACAGAGCAATCAGACAAATCAACAACCAGTGTGATCATATGAAAATGCTGAACATCTTTATGTCTACTGTAATGATGTGATAAAGGTTTTTAAAAGTTTGACTTATTCCGAATCAGTGTCCTCTGACTCTCACGCACTGTTTGTTAAACTAATGAGATGAGTTGTATTACCTTTTCTAGGCCATTTATGACTGGAATGAGGAAGCGAACATCCGGCACTCGTTTGTGGTAAAGGTCTCTCACCCTCTCCACCAGCTCAGGAGACGGAGGCACTGAACGGAGGAAAAGAAGAAGACTTGTGTTAAACATGTTAGCTTCCTCGACTGTCTTCTGTTGGGCTTTTGTTCTACATTTGGCTACATAACTTCTCCGCTACAGATAAAAATTGTTTCTTTTACCTTTATCGGTCAAAATGTGCAGACAGCGAGTGACTAACGTCTCCGCCCCTTTAGGACAGTTTTCAACCAAAAGCAGCAGCTCAGGAGAGTTCATCCCCATCCCACGGATCTGCAGAAATTATAAGAACGATTTTTGTGAATGTCCATAAAACAGAAATCTCATTCCTTTCTTTCCTCATCGAAGGATCGCGTTTAACTTCTTTTTTTTTCACCCTGAACTGTTAAATTAGAAATCATATAGAAATCATAAGTCTCGACACAATTAGATTTCTCATCTATAAATGTGCTTAGAGTGAAGACAGTCACCCTGTTTTTAGTTGGAACGGGGTTGTTCAAATTTAGATCAGTAATAAAAACTAGACAAGTACATAAGACATAAACAGTAAACTTACGTCTGAGTTCTTTAAAAAGGACAAGAGATTTAAAACACATTCATAGTTTGTGGAGACTTACCGGCTGCTCTATCGCTCGTAGCACACTGCGCTTGATGTCAGCGATGGCCTCGGTGTAGACAGAAGCCAGCTCGTGGACCAGCCGGTGGTTCAGAGGCAGCAGGGACAGGTAGAGGAACAAACACTGCCTCACCGTCTCTTCAGTCCAGGGGGCAGCCACCTCTGTCTCAACAAAACACACAATGCTGTGAGATCACAGTGAGGGTGGGGACATTTTTTTAATCTCTTTCAATCGAAGGAAAGGAAAGGCTGTAAAGATAAAATAAAGTGTTTTTCCTTTCTTCAACAAATCAGTTTCAAATTGGAAGGAAA